CCCCACCACCTGCCCCTGTGGCCCCGCCCAAAGTGCTGATGTCAGTTGGCTGCCAGACGGAGTATGACCCACTCTTCCCTCCGCTGCAGGTGCAGACATGCTGTCATTGGCTAAGCTTCTGTCTTACTGTCCTCTAGAACAATCACAAATCTTCTATGGATTTGTAAATTTAATGTTGTATGCTTGAGCTTGGAGATGTTTTGTGTGTGTGTTTGTGTGAGCTGCTTTGTGTACTGTGGTTACCGAGGAAACCGCTATATTTCTGCTGTTCCAAAAGCACCACCTGCTGGCAGAGAACGAATTTGCATGTGAAAATCAACCCATGTTTTTATGCTGCATACACGCAGTTGTAAATGTGAACTGGTGGATCAAGGACATGTGGATTGTGGGTGGACTGGTGGATTAAGACAGTAAAATATATTTCTATGTTATTTAAAGAATATAATGATTGATAATAATTGTTTAAATTAATATAATAATTACTTTTGATTCATCCATTTTCTTAAAAATGGTTTAAAGGCTGAAATGTGAAGTTTATCAGTCTATAAAAATTTTAGATTTTGTGAATACCTGTATCTGAACTGTAATGGTTTTTACAGTCATTTCACAGTGTAATGTTACCATAGACATTGCCCTACCTCAGGCATATGATATTAATTTTATTTGTACAGGTCTTAAAAAAGATCTTAAAAAGTCTTAAATTTGAGCTTCTAAATTCTGCAGATACCCTGTGTATTGATTAGGGGTGTAAATATTTGTTCTGAGAATGATGTGGTTGGTTTACAGTTATTTTCTATATTATGTTGTTATTAGTATCATGAAATCTTAAATACGCAAAAAATTTACGTTTTGTTATAATCTAAAACATTTGTCCAAAATACGCTTAAGACACAAATGTAAATAGGGGAATTTTTTCCCACAGTGTAGTGGGACATTGACAAAAAAAAAAAAACACCAGATTTTATATTTATGTGATCAAGAACTGTAACTTGAAAGAAATTAACATATTATTATAGTAATTATATAACCAATTCTGTTCCTTCAGAAACTGTCATCTTGTTGATTTTTTTAGGTGCTTGTGTTTTGTGCTTGTATTTTTATTTTTTTTTGCATTGAAGATTTTTTTTATTCTTGATCTTTTGTTCTATCTCTCTTTAGATTATGGCCCAGGGGAAGGGTCCACAACCACAGGTTAATAAACTGGACAACATGCTGGGCAGTCTTCAGTCTGACCTCCACAAGCTGGGAGTGCAGACGGTTGCCAAGGGAGTGTGTGGCGCCTGCTGCAAACCCATTGTTGGCCAGGTGAGGGAGCCAGAGAGCTACACCACAAACATATAGGATTTTAGCTTTCAGCCAAGATTACATGCTGTGTTAGACACATCTAAACAAAGGATGCATGTGTGTGTGTGTTTCTGTACAGGTGGTAACTGCCATGGGGCGCACATGGCATCCAGAGCATTTTGTGTGCACACACTGCCAGGAGGAGATTGGTTCCAGAAACTTCTTTGAGAGGGAAGGACAGCCATACTGTGAGAGAGATTACCACCATTTATTCTCTCCGCGCTGCTATTACTGTAACGGACCCATACTGGATGTGAGAACAAACTTGACAGAATACGCACATTAAATATAATGTTTCCTCAGTCGATGCAATCCATATTTATATGTGGCCGGATTTGTGTTCAGTGTGAACAAAGCCAGTGTTTATTATGTCAGCCTGTGTATCCACTTATTTAGTGCCACTTACATTGTAAGTGATTAATGTTCCTGTGGTAATTGACAACCTGCTACAGATGATAAAACTGATTAAATTGTTCTCACCTCACAGAAAGTGGTGACGGCGTTAGACAAGACGTGGCATCCTGAGCACTTTTTCTGTGCCCAGTGTGGGGCGTTCTTTGGTCCTGAAGGTGAGTAAACACTTACAGAAGAGTCCAGTGGCTGCTGTCATCAAAGTACCCATATTTTGCTCATTTGCAAGTTTGTAATTTTATTTTTGGGGTCTGCTAGAATACATTTACATGTATTTACATTTTGCAGATTTATATGCACAAACAGCAACATTAAAAATCCAAAGAGCATAATAGATGCCCTTTAAACTTAAAAGGGCGACAAAACTAATACTGTAATTAAAAGAACTCTGCACTCAAACTATGCTGGTTATATAATTTGTAATAAAATATAATGCAAAATACGACTTTTTGACGAAACTGTTGACCGCTTATCTCTTTTTTTTTGTTTGTATTAGTGAATACTTATTATAAATACATCTTTGTTCTGTTTTTCAGGATTTCATGAGAAGGATGGAAAGGCGTACTGTCGTAAAGACTACTTCGACCTGTTTGCTCCTAAATGTGGCGGTTGTGCTCGTGCCATCCTGGAGAATTACATCTCTGCCCTGAGCGCCCTCTGGCATCCAGAGTGTTTTGTGTGCAGGGTGAGTATATGATAATAAAAGATTTCTCATTTTTTTGAGTGGTCTGTTGCTTTAGTTTTGAATATGGGTCAAAGTCGTTAAGATCCGCGTCAAAAGAAATATACAAAAGTAATTTTATGTCCATAGAAAGCACATTAAATGTAAGTAAAGTGTCTACTTTTAAGGTTTCAAATAAGTTTTTGGAGAATAAAATGTTAAAATTTGGTTGAAATAATGTTACATTGTCAGTGTAACACAATATTTATGTAAAAATTCAAACAACATGCTTATTCTGACATGTACATATTAAAATATATAAAAGAATAAGGGAGCATATTAAATTTGATTGTGTTTTAAATGAGTAAACAAATGTTACTGACAAACGTGCAAAACCTAGGATAGTGGCAAATTTTAAAAATGTAGAATTACAACTAATTAGTATCTGGGGTGAAAGTAATTAGTCTTTTGATATGTCATAAATTGATTTTTGTTGTAAATATGCCTGACAAGATTGTTACACTGAATGACATTTTAGTGGGTGTCTTCTGTAAATCAGGGAAAAATGTATGATATTTATTTTTTGCTCGGAAAAACAAAAACAAAATTGCATTTAAATTAAACAGAAAACTTAAAAAAAAAAAAATTGGGGAAAAACAACAACAATTTAAAGCAGTATTACACTTATTGCTTTTATGCTTAAACCCTTTTTCGTCTTTGACCCATATACACTTGGTCAAAAGTTTGGAGTAATTTCAGTTTCTTTGAGTGGAGTAATGATGCTGAAAATTCAGATTTGCATCATTTTTAAATTGTAAAAATATTTCACAATATTACTGTTTTTACTGTATTTTGAATAAAAAAATTAATAAATGAAGCCTTAGTGAGCAGCAGAGACTTCTTGGCATAAAAATAAATAAGCATAATGAGGCGTTTATGAGTAGTCATGTGGTTTTGTTGTGTGTGTTTCAGGAGTGCTTCACACCCTTCGTCAACGGCAGTTTCTTCGAGCACGACGGTCAGCCGTACTGTGAGGTTCATTATCACTCCCGCCGCGGGTCGCTGTGTTCTGTGTTGTTCAGGTTAATGTGTCTGACTCTCGACATCCCCACATGACGTTGCTGGTCAGGTTAAAACGATGGTGCCATGAAACGTGCTCTCAAAAGCCAGGTTGTTTTAGAGGGTATTAGAGGAAAGTTCAGCTGAGACTGTAGAGTTTTTTTTTGAGAAAGTGTGTGAATGTTTTCTGCTCACTGGATGAGCTGGAGAGAAACTGTTTGATGATGAGAACAGTTCAGGAGGGATGATGGGAACGTTTGAGACACAATCAACAGAAGGAAACGAAACATCAGATAATTCAATGACTGGAAATCAAACGAATAACCAGCTGGAGCCAATACTTACTGGTGAATCTCATGAAAAAATATCCAGGTCATATATTAGTCTGAAACCAAAAGGAAAGATAAGAAATCATATTTTGTATTAAAAACATTTAAGCCAGTTTAAAAATATTTAAAAAATGTTTGCATTGTGACATTATTTTCAGAAAAAAAAAACATTTTCTACCTTATTTTCCATTATTGTGTTACCAAAAAAATCATTTTCATTATAGTAATATAATGAAAAAATATCCTGTCCAATAACATTTTATTATTATTAATAATAATTATTATTATTGTTGTATTTTTTATTAGTAATATTCATAATATTGATGTTGTTTTAAATTGTCTTAATCTCAGTAAAACAAATAATACTATGATGAAGTATAAATCCTTCATTGTTATTACACCTAAAATAGGCTACATTTTCTTTTATGCAAAATATAATTTATTCTTTCTTTTTATTTTGGTATGAAATATGGCCCGGGTGTGTTCTTTTGAGCTTCACCTTGCTAGGAAAATGTCTATTTGCTGCATTTGCATCATTTTAGCATAAAATTTCACCTCGATGAAGTGCTACTTTTAGTGCCTTGTTTTGTATTACAAATCTAACTGAATTTAAAAGACACAAAGTATACCAGTTAGTAGTCATAGTTTTGCATACAAGATATAACACAAAGTTTCTAATCCATGTTGTAATTGAGAGACTGAAGTTCAGATTATTCCTCATAAAGTCTGTGTAGCAACTTCTAATGACGGGTTTAATTATTACTGACATCTGGAACCCATAGATATGAGTGTATTCTAATGTTAATCGTTCACTTCTGCCGGCGTCTGCGTGGAATTCGCAGGAGTTTATGCGTCTCGTCTCAAAGTAAGGAATGTATGGGATTAAATACAATTTAAGATACAGAAAATCATTTCTACTCGTTGTTTAGTTTGATAAATCAAAGGAAAATATGTGTTTACAGTTTTGAAAGTAAAACCATGACGTGGCTTCCACTGTAAACATGTGTTTTACACTGATAAATCAAAACTATATTCTCTGGTGTCAATAGAGCTTAAGTCTTTATTATTATTCTGTGAAGGAACCAGTCATGTATGGCATTTTGGGAAATGTTTTGTAGTTAGGATGACTGGCTATTTTGGTTTTAGTCACTAAACAGTCACTACATAACCACTGATGATCCACTTAAAGGAATAGTTCACCCAAATGTGAACATTTACTGAAAATGTGCTCACCCTCAGGCCATCCAAGATTAGGATGAGTTTGTTTCTTCATCAGATTTGGAAAAATGTAGCGTTGCATCACTCGCTCAGCAATGGATGCTCTGCAGTGAATGGGTGCCGTCAGAATGAGAGTCCAAACAGCTGATAAAAACATCACAATAATCCACAAGTAACACTCCAGTCCATCAGTTAAGTGTCTTGTGAAGTGAAAAGTCAATCTCCTGTTGTCCTGTTGATATTGTTCATCTAAATAGCTGTGACAATATTGTATATATACAATATACCCTTGAATCCAGTATATGATTTGATTGGAAATGAGTATCTGATACTGTCTTGCTCACTCTCAGAGACAATTCTAGACAATATTGTAACTGCTGTATTATGATATCGTGATGAATGATATACTATTACTAATTCTCTTTTTCTCTTTTAGTTTTTTTTCCGTTTTGCATGAAAGTCTTAAGTGTCTTTCAATCATTTTAAAAGGTGAGTTTTGAAAACTCATAAAGCTACGAAGGGGTGAATCGATGAAGACTTTCTTATATTTTTAGAAACGGAAACAGAAGTGATTTTCAGATCAAGAATATTACATATATACAGTCCCTGGCGTCTATTTGGAACGGTGTGGCTTTCTGGATGCCTGTCAACAAAGATTGCTAATATGATTCGTTGCATGCATTGGATAAATATACCAGCACGTGTTTATTATATGAAAGCTTTTATATGACCCAATGTGCCAGAGATCTGTTGAGAAAACACTACTTAGAAAGTAGAAGATACTTGTTCTGGTTTGTTTGATTAAATTCACTATGAATATGCCTTCTTTGATAACTCAGTTGTAATAATCTGTCACTGTTTGTTTTACTCGCTATGTGCCAAAAGAAGGTGCGGTGGAAATCATATGATATCCTAATGTGTTTTAATCACTCATTTACACTGGTCGAATGTTGTGCCTTTGTTTATTTTGAGATTTTCTATCATATTAATTGATCTGACGTTTTTCTGTTCATCAGTCATTATTTTAGTGTCCCTTTGCAAATATTATCATTTACCCAATGTGAAATCAGCTATGCATATTTTTTTCCCCTCTTGTAACACTGTCACATTTTAGCCTATTCTGTGAGTATTGGTTATTGTTTCAATTCATGCAATTATATACAAATAAATCTGGTGTTTTAATGCACTGAGTATTTTTCCTCCTGATGTTGTTTATTATTAAATTCATATTTTTGCCTAGACGTTTGTACACAAAACAGTAATCTTTTTGGCTGTATCTAACAATTAAAGACATATAACAATATATATTCTATTTTTTTTGTAGCAAATTCGTTTTAATTTTCACATTTTGTGTGTAACTGTAGCCTAACTGTTTAATTTATGGGAAATCTTAATTTCCTCCCACATTGGATTGATTCCTATAATTGACGGCTAGATTTTGTTGTAGCTTTTTATTTATAAAAAAAACTTTAGAAAGGGAATAGACGGCTTAAAATGTTTGGTTATTTTATTCACTGATAATTTGTTGAAAAGGAGGGGGAAAATACTTTTATACTTCAGTTTTTCAGACCTATTGACAAATAAAATCATATAACAGTAGCACAGTTTTGACGTAAACTGCTAAATATATGCATTATTTTTTTGTACAGAATTAGTTTTAATTTTCTCAAATATTGGTATACTTTTGTGTGTAGCTGTAACCGTTTAATTTGTGGCAGATTTATTTATTTTTACTTTTTGGCGGGATTGTATTAAAATTGTGTTGTATTTTTTTTTTGCTAAAAACTTTATAAAATTAATAGACAATTTAAATAGAATTTTTGATTATTTAATTCACTGATAATTTGCTGAAAATGAGGAAAAAAATACTTTTATGCTTAAAAGTTGCGGGCTGTTGAAAATTTGATGCGCCTCCATACCAGTTGGTGGCGGAAATACACCATTTTGTTGTTTGTCAACCGCCAATAAAATTTCAAGAAGAAGAAGAAGAACGTTTGATGCGCCCACTAGAAGCGCTAAGGAGAAAATACCCGCAGAAGCACGTGGCCGAGGACGGTAATGACTCCGGAAGTGACGACTTAAATCCTTTCCAGATCGAGGCCGGCAAGATGGCGGCGGACACGCAGGTTGGTGCGATTCGATCTGTGGCTGCATGAACATTAAAACGCTAACTTTTCTTCAGTATCTCACCACTTTCTTATGAGCTTTCAAAGAAGATGATGCATGAACTGTGAGCGCGTGATGTTCAGATACATTAGAAGACGCTGTGCGTGCGCGCTAGTGCGTGAAGGTGCATTAACAATGATAAACTGAACATTAATGATGGCACAGTTGCATAACACACATTTATTATGATTTTACGGTCATTTGACAGACAACGAGACTATTTTAAACGTGTCACCCACTTGTTTGTGCATCTGCTGATCTCAAACACACATTCACTTCAGACTCTTAACAAGAAAGTGCCAGAAGTACCATGTTTCTGGACATGGTATCATGTTAAAACCATGTTGTTGTTGTTGTTTTTTTTTTTTAAATATAGCACTGTAATATCACGGTAATCTTCAGAATGCTGTGTTACATAAAACTGATCAAACAATCACCTGATACCATCACTTTGTGTAAGGAGTCGCTTATGAAAAATGTAATTCATGCCTGAACTACTAATGTAAAGCCATTATGAATGAATATCCTTCTGTCAGTATATGATGCATTCAATCAGTCATTTTTATCGTCGTTTTATGACAGTGGTGACTAATACAATGTCAACTCATGCTTTATTATAGTAACAATAAATGGAGTGATGAATATTGTGTTGGTAACAGTGTTTACTATAGTAAACCGTAATATGATATCCATATTTAGATTTAGTTGCATGTGTGCCACAGTAAGCAAGCAGCGTCTGATGGCTGATATTTGTGTGTTTGCAGGGGCAGGTTTCAGACACACTGAAGAGATTCGCTGTGAAAGTCACGTCGTCCAGCGTTAAAGAGCGCAAAGAAATTCTTGAAGAGTTGAAGGAATGTGTGAAAGGAAAGGGTGAGCTTATCAGACTAAAGAAATAACTAATATAACATGTTTAGTGTTCTGTGGACATCTTGAAGAGCATTACGGTGACCAAATGTGACAAAACACTGTTAAAGCATCAATTGTTCACTATATTCCATGCCATTCCAAGTCATGCACTACCTTTTTTAATGGTTTTAAAGTCAGCTGTGCTCACCAAGGCTACATTTATTTGATCAAAAATGCAGTAAAAGCTCAGAAATATTGTGAAATATTATTACCGTTTCAAATAACTGGTTTCTATTTGAATATATGTTAAAATGTAATTTATTTATGTGATCAAAGCTGGATTTTCAGCATCATTACTCCAGTCTTCATTGTCACATGATCCTTCAGAAATCATTCTAATATGCTGATTTGAGAAACATTTCTGATTATTAGCAATGTTGAAAACAGTTGTGCTGCTTCATATCTTTTTGGAAACTGTGATACATTTTTTTTTTA